TGTGGTTTTTTAATTAAAAAAACCCAACTTTATTCAACTTAATTCATTAGAACTATTTCTAGAAACATGTAATCTTAAAATACTTAACATCCAGTCTAATTGACATCCTGTAGCAGGTCGTTTGCAGATGGCACATACTATACTTAAATATTGTCCTCTCTATATATCAGTGAAGTGCATGTCCAAGCACTCATAAACACAGACAAGTATAATTACATACAGCTCTGCATTCATGACTTGCTAAAAACCACTTGATTTTCCCCATCAATTGCTTTAAAAAATGAGTGCTCTGCTCTCTTACAAACTCAGAGACAAGCAGTGAAATGTTTTATCTCTTGTTTGTGGATGGGTTGAGGCTTTCCAAAAGAAAGGACTGAATGCACTGATAAAACATGAAGTGTGATGCCAAGTAGGTTTGTAAATACTCCTGCCTGTGCTTCACCAGTGCCCTTCAACCATGATACAGAACCAGCCTTGTCACATTCCTGGAATCTTTGCCTATGGTAATGACAGGTGAGGAGAAGCAGGGAAAAAAGGAGATGACAATTGTGTTTTGCTCTAGTCCAGAAATAAGCCTCTTGGTTGGAGAAAGAGGAAGGTCAGTTCACATTGACCCACCATTGTCTTTTCTTTACTGGTGTTCCTTTCCAGAGACCACCCAATGATAGTCCAGCCTGCAGGCCTTGTTTGTTGTCATTAGCCAGGTGATCACTAGACCTGTCAGCAGAGACATAAATATCTCCTTGGTGCTGGTCTTTGTGCAGTCATGCAGTTGTATTATAAAAGCAGCAGGATGGACCATGACTTCATATGTTAAAAAGTTACCTATATACATGAATACTTACAGGAGTGTGAATGCCATCTGCAAGGTCTTTGTAAGATAGTAGACAACTCATTGCAGCATTGTTATCAAAAGCATGGCTCACTTTGTGTTGTGGCGTGTCAGAAAAGGCTGTGTGGCCTTTTATGATGAGACGCTGAAAGCGCTTCATGCATGAACCATCCACAACCTTTCCACATCCACACATGACACCGGCATTTCCATATAACAGGCATGCTTTATCCAGGTCACCTTATTCAAATTTTATAAAACTGTCTGTCAGAACAGATGGTGTCACTTAAGGATAAAAAGCTTAGCCATAGATGTGAAGAAAAGCTGCCTCTTCAAGTGAGGTCTGCTAGCTCGTCTTAGTCTTTATCGCCCCTGTCTTTCCCTGCTTGACAGAGGACTTTTCACAGGTTTGTGGTTGGTGTTTTCAGAGGCCTTGGCATTTTTGGATAGGTTTGATTTGTTGCTACAGCTCTGGACAGGTGGCAGCATATCTGTCTATCTCAGTTCGCCCATCTGCAAAATGGTGTTTGCCTGGGCCAGAGAAATTAAGATGCACAAAACACATTTGTAAAGACTGGTTTCTAGGATATGCTCAGAGGGTTAAATTGTCCAGACCATGGGCAGGGTGGTGGGTAATATTACTGTCTGGGTCTTTTCTCCCCTTGTTTTATGGCAAGCATCACCATCTTCTCTGCGATCTGCCACTCCTCATGGAGGAAGACTTCTGGTGACTTCCCTGTCACAGCTCAGGCATCACCCATTGCTGTGTGTTTCTAAATTGTTTGTTTTAAGTTGGTCTTGGTGTTTCTCTTCAGCCTACAATTTTGGCTGCCTCCCTACCTTTTTGCCTGCCTTCTAGTAGGCAACATACATGTGTTTTCAAAGTCTATTATTGTCTGTTGTCATCTGATTTGGCTGAGAGACTGTTACAAGCTTTGAATAATTTGTTATGCTTGTAAGTTTTCTCTTTTTTTTTTTTGGAGCTCTGATTTAGTAGGAGGAAGGGCTGGATATTCAGGGTACTGTTCCTCTTTGGGTTAGCCAATAATGCAGATTATTAATACATTAATAATACAAGGGAACTTTTCCAATAAAGTCTGTTAAAAATTCTGTGTCTAATCAAAATTATGGATTCTTGAGGTCAGTTCAGGGTAATTATTCAGGGCACAAATGCCTTAGTAACACTACAATGTCATATTTGTTGACTTTCATTTTTTACCATGGCAAAAAATGTTGTGCTTTAACTTGATTGTCTCCTTCCTGGATTTCTCTTTTTCATACTTGTGACTGTACAAAAATAAACAGGATGATAATCTCTTGGATGTCACATGGCAGAGCAGTAGCTGTGCTGTGAGTGTCAAAGTAATGAATTAACTCAGCCCAGGACAAGAGGTTACTAAATAACCTTTGCCTACTGAAGGTGGCAAAGGTTTCTCAGGACTTACAGGCACTTAATGTGAGGCAAAGCCCAATCTAATTGGTGACGTTTGAATGAAGGTCTCCAAATTCTCATGTCCAGACTATACAATGAGATAGCACAGAAAGTTAGATGTGAGGCATCCTCCTTATCATGGGTAGCAGGAATTTTCTCCAACTAAGGATGCCTTCCCTCTTGTCTTTATCTAGTTTAGAAAGACTTTATCTGACTCCTTGTTGCGTGTCCTTAATGGATTGTAGGACTGTACCGGGGGGAGGAAGGGGGCTTCAAAAAAAGGAAGCCCTCAAGAGAGATTCCTATTTTAAGTTTGAAACAGATTGTGCAGAAATGGCACCTTCCTTTTAAATAAGTATGTTCTGTGAAATTCACCCTATCTTCAATAATTCACAGGCATTGCACTGGTAGTCTTGTTAACCCCACACAGCCATGGCAGGGTAATTTTCAGTGCAGGTATCAACAACACTGATGAGTTTTAAATGAAATGGTAAATTCTGCTTTCACACTGTACTAATCACAGTGCAGGCTGGAGGTCAGTACAAACTTACATCATAGCTGACATTGGAAAGAAAAGGGCAGTACACAATTTTTATTATGGAAAAAATTAAGGAAAAAGGAATGCAACAACATAACCTTGTAATTCCTTTGGTCTGGCCTGATTACAGGCTGAGGAGCCTTTAACAAGCCCAGTTGCTGAGCAAAGCTTACCAGATTTCAGAGAGAGGGTGGACAGAAAAACACAGATGGATTTCTACAAGGTTACTTTTCAGTGGATATCTGATCCTGCAGGACTGCTTTGAGAAGACAGACTCCCTTCTTAGAACTCTCTTCATTTTTTCACTTTTGGTTTTAATGATAGTGATCTACCAATCAGGTAAGTACAGTTAGGTATCTTCTCCTGTAATGGGACCTATAGCCTGATATTCCCATCATGTGTAGGGAATGTTTTGTGCTTCAGACAGGGTTCCATTAAAATCTGCCCATGGAGTGAAGGACTGCCAGTTCTCTGGCAGTCAGTGGGAAAAATCTGAAGGAAGTCTGTATTAAAAACTTAATCTTCCCAGGTTTTAGCCATGCCAATGATACAGACCAGCCATGGGATTCACAAGCTGCTTCTAATGATTAGAATCCAGCTGCCTGTATTTAATTTGGAAATTTTTTTTGTGTTTTAAATATAAGGCACCAGCTGGAAATGCATGTTGTCATTTTTTGGTTTGAGTTGTAGGTAGCTGACACCATTTTTTACACTTTCTTACCTCAAGAGCCACCTCCTTCAGTTCCCTCAGTCAGATGTGCAGTTACAGGGCTGCCCCTGTTCCCAGCAAAGTCAGAGATTTGCTCTCAATAGCAATGGCACAGGCAGGTGCTAAGTGCCAGGAGCAGTTAATATTTAACCTTCTTGTGGACTCTGGCTTGGCTTTTCTGTTCCAACCCACTGGGAGTGCCAGCTCAGGGAAGAAGTTTGGTATCAAAACACCACTGAAAGTCTCCCCTCACCAGAGGATCAGACTCTGCTCTCACAGAATCTCCACAGATGCTGGAGAGAGGTCCAGAGCTAACTGGCCTTCTGAGTGTGGAAATATCCCAGAATAGTGCATACTCTAACCTTCACTGTGGAACAAAAGGTTTTTAAACCTGTGATGTTTTATAAGACTGCCTGTGCCATACCTGCATCTGGCTTTGGCAGTGAGGACAGGCTGATGTAGACAAGCTGGAGTTTGATGTATTAGCATGTAAAAAGCCATCCAGAGGATGCACACGAGGATGGGCACTGGCACTGGTAAGATTCAGGCAATCCTCTTTCATTCCTTCACCAGGATTTGGTATCTCTACGACCAAATCTCTACGACCTCTCTACGATTAGGATAGAGATACGTAGGGTAGGAAGTTCCCTCACATATCTGCTGCAACGGTTGCTAAAAATTTCCTAAGCCCAAGGCTTTTAGTGTTAACCACACTCAGCATTCACTCAGATGTGAACCATGAAGCACCATGGCAGTGACCAGAAGATGTGCTGCCTCTGTCCCTGTAAGCACTAAGCCACTGTGAAAGGAGGCTGATGATGTTTGGGGATCTATTTTAACTCAGCTTTGCAGGTTTGTTGGGTTACTTTTGACAAGGGTGGGGATGAAGGCAAGGTGTAAATTGAGACCAAACTTTCCATTAGGCTAAATCAGGGTTTGAAACAGCAGAAATGGGCAGATGCTGCTAAGAAGCTTTTGACACTTGTACCATGCTGCAGGTGTGCCAAGCATGTGGCAGAAATATGCAAAAAGTTCATTATAATACAAGTAGTGTCATCTGCTGCCTGGTCCCTTTGCATTGCTGTGTTCCTTAGCTGCCTCATTAGGTGGGGAGCAGGCCTGATTACTGACTTGTTTGTCAAGTGACAAGCCAGGCTAATTAGTTGTGTGGGCAGAGGATTGGTTTCAAGCTCATCAGGAGGGCACCCTCATCCTTTCCTCAATCATACGCGTCCTGCAGCGGGGTTTGCCGCAGGAGTTTGTTTGTGGGTTCTTCTTCTCTAGAGCTCATGGACAGAAAATCTGGGCTAAATGGGGCACTGAGAGGATCTTTTTTTAGCCTGTCACACTGGAGCCGTGGATTGCAGCAGCGCAACTGGCACTTTTGCAGGGCATGAGGAACACTTCCTTGTCACCCTGCAGGGTGTGTGGCGGGAGTGGGCGTGCAGCGATAATCGAGTCACCGAGTGAAGCGGCAGGCCTGTGTGGCTGATTTACAAATACCAGTGTTCTTTATTTACACAGACATGTAAACAACAGAAGGTAAACAACGCCGCCCAGCTCGGTCTAACAAACAGGCTGCTGCTGTTTCACTTCAGGACCTGAGGTGTTTTAGACATTTCACAGAAACTGTATTGACAGCAAACACAGGAAGGCTACGAGGTTACCTTGACTCTTTCTCTCTGCACGGGAATCGCATGCACGGTGCGGCAGCGCGGGGGAACGGCACCGCCTGAGGCTGCAAACAGGGGTATGCAAGGAACCCACCCAGAGCTGGCCTGAAGTTCGGGTCTGGCCGGAGTCAGCAGTATTTGTGAGCAGTACCACTGCAGCCAGTCTGTCCTCTGACAGCACTTCCCACCCAGAGGTCTGAAAGCACTCTGCGAACAGACTGAGCAATCTTCGTCGCATCCTTTGCAAATCATCCCGTTTATGTACAAGGAAATAAAGGGAGGGCCTTCAAAGAGCGGCTTTCCCAGAGCTCAGGTTTTACTGGTCTCGTTTCCCAACCTTGTGCTTTAAGCATAGCACCATTCTTTCTTCACAGAAGTATATTACTTCTTGGCATTTTAGGACAAGCTTTTGAATACAAAGAAATGCCCCAAGCACTGGAGGTAGAGGGGCAGTGGACGGTCCCAGTCATGACCAGAAGCTGCTCTGCTCCAAAGCTGCCCCTGCTGAAAGAGGAACCAGCTACTGTGCGACACATTGCACCCAATCCCAAGCTTTTTCAAGTTTGTCTGAAAACACAACTAAGGGAAACATTAGCTGCAAAAGAAAATCTGTTCAAAAACAACAGTGCTGATGTGCTGTCTTGCAAATTTAACTGCAACAGTAACCCAAAGACAGAAAAATACCTAGTGGAGAAATGAAGAAGTTTGGAAGTTTGCTGCTTTGTGCCAAGGAACAAATTTCCTTAAAGTTTTAGCAGCAAAAGAATCGGCTAGGGCTTGAACAGCACTGAGTTCTCAGCTGTAAATTCACATTTTGGTTGCACACACACTCCCTAAATAAAAAAAAATTAAAATAACTTCTCCAGATTAATTGGTATTGGATATGTTGTTTGGTTCTGTTTTTTTGGTTTGGTTTTTTTTTTCTTTTTTTTTTCCTGTTGTGGAGTGATAACCATGGCTTGAACCCAAAACCAGTTTCAGCCTTTCTGCCTGTTTTCTAACATGAATTGCAAGTTCGATGGGCTCAGCTTGTATGCTAGATCAAATTCAAGCATGTGAGAATTGCTGCTAAAAAAGCAGCTGGGAAGTTGTGTTTGAGCATAGTATTTAAATACTCAGCTGCTTTCTCTCATGCACATTATGCAGCAAGAAGTTTAACTTCTATCCTCCCAATTAGAACTACAGCCCTATCTTTAGTTATCATAGGAAAGGAGATAAATCAACACAACCATAAGATACACCATTTACAGCTGCCAGTACAGCAGCAGGTAAGATAAAGACAGAAAAAGAGGACTGTTTTTCTTAAATAGTCATTCCTGCAATCCTTTCAAACCCCCAGGTGAAAAGGAAACCTAAGAAATTCTCCTTAAATAAAAGCTATGTACAAATTGCACACATTGCAAACGGAGCACTGAGATCAGTTACAGAAAATAAGATGTACAGTCTTCACTGATAACATCTCTCTTGCTATAAACAGTGATAAACAGCATATGCTTTCTTCAGATGTCAGAACCCAGCAAGACAGCAATATTATGTACACAGGGCTTGTTTGCCTTCTGCCTCCCACAGCAGAGCCCCTCCAAACTCTGTTTTCACTTCAGAAAGCTGTGCAGCGACGCTCCTGCGCACCGTGCCGCTGCTGCTCGGCAGATCACAAGAGAGCTGTCATTGCTGTCTGGCTGATGGGCTTCAGGCAGTCTCTGGGCGTGGAGTACCCCTCGCCCCCCAGAGCAGTTTGCTGGGGCTTCTGGTAGTCTGTGCTGTAGCTCACGGAGGTCACAACACCATTAACTTTGGGTTTGTCGTAGTTTATGACACTCTGGGGTGTCTGATAGTCTCCGTTCCTGGTGTCGGTTTTGCAGGAACTGGAGAAGCTGCCAGCAGAAAGGGAATGTAGCTGAGACGAGGCGACAGGAACGTTGTAGCCATTCTCAGGGGGGAAATTACCTTCTCTTGCTATGTGCCGCTCTATGATGGGGGTGGCGTACTCGGGCTCCTGGCTGGTCAGGGGCAGAGCATATTCGTGCCTGTTAGCTCTGTGAGGGCAGTGATAGTGATTTTCAAACTCAGAACTTCCCCTTCTTCCCTCCTCTTTGGTGTCCATGGGGCGAAAAGTAGATCCTTTACGTGTTACCGTCCCAGTTCCGATCATGAGAGGCTGCTGATAATCTAAAAGGAAGCATGAAATGCTCAGTAAGGCACAGATTGGTTATCTTATGTATATAATACTTATGCACAGATAGGTATTTTATGGTGAAAAGCTACTCTGTTAGTGTTTTGAAAGTGTGATTATTGGGGATGTGAGGAAACCTTTCCCCAACACTGATCCTGTAACCTCCTTCAGGCGAGCAAGAGTTGCAGAACATGGCAGAAGCTTTTCCACAGAGAAGCTCCAATCTGCCACCTCTTTTTCTACTCTCTCCCTCCCTTTCCCTACCTACCCCCCCAAATAAATTAACCTTTCTGGAGTATACTTGAAAGCCCTAAAAAAGAGTGAGGTCAACAAAACATTAACAAGAAACTGGACAAAGGACACTGCATGAAGATCCACAAGCGAGAAGTTCTCCAAAATGAGTGTTCCACTTTTGGAATAATTAAAATGCCCAGAGGATTCTTAACGAGCTGGCTTTATTTAAAAGGCATCTCACAGCAGCTGACTGACAAGAAGGATGAAGTTAGGCAAAACGGCAGCCAAGAGAGTCAATGGAAGTGTGAAATGTGCTAAGCCAGCTCAGCACGGCTGCAGGCATGCCAGGGGGGATGAGCTTGGGGGGAGAAGCGGGAATGGTGCTGCTGGAGGGACTGGGCAGTCACCCAGTCAAGGGGGAGGGCAGGGACAGAGCTGGCCTAAGGGCTGAGCAGGAGCAAGGAGCGAGATGGAGGAAACACGGCCACAAGAAGCGCGTGTTTGTGCCTCTAGCTAAGGTAGGTGCCAGGCTGCCGTGTGAGGAGGTCTGAACGAGAAGGTTTTCTGAAAAAACAAGCAACACTGTTATGAGGAAAGTGAACGTTCTAACTTTCTCGCTTTGGCGCTGGTGACAATCTCGTACAGATACCAAGGGTGGCCTGAACAGCTCTAGTAAATGACACTGCTAAAGTGTGGTGTTTGCACGCAGGCGTGAAGAAGTTAGCTCGGTTTCTGTTCTGGCATCGCGGTTCAGCTGACATGAGCGTCGAATTCGATCCCATATGTCCTGTGAATCTTTTTGGCAGCTTCTGGCTGGGTCCCAAACTTCAGCATGTAGGGTGAAGGTGTTATGATATTTCTCTAAGTAAGTAGTGCAGCTCTCCCCAGCATCGCTGCCGCCATCCCCAGAAATCTCTCTCGCTCAGGATGGAGCATCTCGGCTTCCTCCTGGCTGCCTCTGGGAACCAGCAGGCAGTCTGAAGCGAGGGAATTCCATGTAGCATGAAAACCTATATGCAAACTGTGTGCTCCCTGCAATTAATTTATTAAATGGCACATTTCTAGGTTGCATCCACCTTCTTATTTCATGGCTTTTTAATTTTAAGGAGACTGCAGGTGAAATGCTAAGGCTGGGAATATGCCTGAGCCAGGCTGAGAGTTCAGGCTTCCCATAAACACAGCAGGAGGGGATGGTGGAGAGAGCAAAGACTTCCCAGACATGGCCAGGGAACCAAAAAACCATATTTTGTGAGCAACCTTTATTCGTTCTTTTTCCTTAAAGCTGTTTTATAGGTCTCTGCACATTTATATTGAAAGTTCCTACAAAGGATTGAAACTGTCTTTGAAAGATACTGAGAGCAGCACCATATGGAATTACAGTAACCATCCATTTGTTTTTTAAATGTATTTCTCTGCCAAACACAACGAAGAAATTCTAAGGAATTTCTAAGGTCTGGAGGCTGGAAACAGGAAACTAATCTTTCTTCAAGAGTGCTGATCACTGATCCCATGAAATGGCTGGTCTCGCTAGCCTTACCAGACAGACTAGACTAGGCAGGGATAAGATGTGCTAAGAGGATGAATTAAAAAATCATCCCTTTGGGATGCAAATAGTACTGATGCTCTTTCATTGGGATTTGCTCTATCCAAACAGTGACGTGGAGCCAAAGTAGCACAGGAAGAAGTGCTGTGGTTGGCTCACTTCTTCCCTCTCATCTACCTGCCTCCTCTTCAGGAGGCCTCACCTCCCAGATAGTTCAGGAAAGCTGCACAGGGATCTGCGCACAACTTCCAGCTAGGCATGAAATCCCACCATAAACCAACTAAATAATTTTTCTATTTGATCAGCAGCAAGGGGCATCATATTCTGTTCCATTTCCAGAGACACTTGTGTTTAAATAGAAACACAAAAATTAGTCAGCAAAGGGAAGCAATCCTATCCTAGGCACATTCTTGCACTTCATCCATGCCTGAGTGCCTTCCATCAGTACCTTCAGCTGCAACTATGTCAGAGTCAGGAAATTTTTCCAACAACTCCACGAAAACAAAATTCCAAAACAGTGGGCCTTTCCCTCCCTAATATATTTATAGCTGCTTCACTATACATTTGGGATGAACATAAATAAATCTGTTCCTGAGACTCAGTTTGCATAAGAGCTGAAGTTTGTCACACTGCTGGGCCATCCCTTTGCCTGTTACTGGCTCAGCACACAGAGCAAAAGGGATGGATCTGAGGGGGAGAGCTCTAACCTGCCATGTCACTGGTGACCAGATCCAGCTTTTGTGGTGTCTCCTTCTCATTATTATAGCTGATGGTAAATTCGGTTGACTGATGTCTGGTAAAGGGCTGCTTGATTTGTTTCCAACAACCTGTGAAAAAGAAATTAAAATAGAAGGCTTATCAGCAAGTTAAATGCTTGGAATCAGAAGACATACCAGTAAGTTTAATTTTTGGTATACTCATTGCTGTCAATATATTGAAATAGTTTAAAAACATGACTAAAATGGGCTGTTTGTTCAAAAAAAGCCCCCTGAATATGGAGGGTGAAGGAAGAAGTGAATCATCAACTGGGATTTCCAAGTTTATATAAGATTTTTTGGCAAGAAGGGCTCAAACTCTGTAGGTGCCTACAGTGATGCCTTAACAAAGTATATTGATACAATACCAACTTTAAGTCAGTTATGTTTAGGCATTGAATATGTGGCAAAAATAATGCTTAAAATTTCTCCTTTTGCAGTGGATTAGTGTGGCTTCTGATTCATGGGTATCTGAGCACCTGCACTCATCAATTAACTTGTTCTCACAACATCCTTGTGAGACAGAAAAGAAAAAATCCACAGTGTCAGGGACTTGCTGGAGCCTGTGCCAGGAGGTCTGGGGAGAGGTGAGCTTGACTCACAGCTTTGCAAGCCCCAAGCCTGGCTCACAAGGGCTTAGGAGCTTGATTTATGAAGCAGACACACAACAAATGAACTGACTGGGTAAGAGGCTATCTCCAATTTCTTGGGATTTGTCCTCATTAGCAAGTGAGAAAGGATTATGATGTGACCTTGAAAAATCATATTAGCAAATATGATGTTAAGTACAAATTAATTTTCTAATGAGGGCGAGCTGCAGTGGGTAACAGCATTCCTTTCACTGACGTCAGCACCTACTGAGGGATGAAATTTTGGAGCTGAGCTATTGCAAGAGACTTGTCAAGAGACATATGAAGTGCTCAGTGGTTTGGGTTTTTTGTGGAAAGCCGAGTTTCAGAAGGATATTCCTTGACGGAACTGGTTGGCCAGGAAAATCACCCCAACTGCCAAGCTGATGGGAATCTCACTCTAGAAAATGTTATTGAGCAAGACAAAGAAAATATTTTTGCAGTCATCTCCTAAAGCAGTGTGCTCAAGCCAATCCCTCATTCAATACAGCTCACTGTTCTTGGGCTTTATAAATACACTTTCAGCCAGGGAGGGCAGTGAGAAGAAAATATTCAAGCCACAAAAAATGATTACCTCTTGCTCTCTTAGAGAAAGGCATTCCCCTCTGCTGTGGGGAAAAGAAAAGAAAAGCAGCAATTTTCTGCAAAATACGTATTTTGGAAGTGGGAAGGAAAAGGAGGGCACCTGGGAGCACTCTTACATGCTAATTTATGCACTCTGTATAATAGATCTTTTGTTAATTGCCTTTCTGTCATAGAAACCAAATTATATTGTTTCTCAGGGTGCTGTGCTAGGATGACACAAGTGGGACTATCATTTGCTGTTTCCCTTGTATGAAGAGGTGAATTTGAATGAGGAAATGTGGATGCTATTTCACAAGCATGAAATGCTTAGCTGCCTAAACCCCTTCCTGCTGGCCCAGCGGACAGGACAAGACAAAGTGTATGATTCTCCACTAACCTGATTTCTGAGTACTGGATAATCCATAAGAAAGTCCTTTGGCTTCTCGCCTGTGAGGAGAGGAAAGGGTTTATAAACATCAGTACTTACAGCATTTCAGCTTCATGCCTTAGCTCCAGCAGAGCCTTTTTATTTAGTGGCTGAGGACAAGGCTTCACTTTGAGTTCCTGGATGTTGTTGTTCACTAGAACTAGGCATGCAAACCAGCACTTTGACATTTTCTTTTCTCCATCTATGTGCAAGTTGTGAGTGCTGGTGTTCAAATTTCCAGGGCTGGCACTCACCAGTTTGATGTGTCTATGTCTAGATGTGTCACTCTGGGCTATGTTTGGGTCTGCTCTTCTGACCTCTTGGGCTATTTTATAGATTTACTGGCTATTTTATAGATCCAGGGCAGAGCTGAGTATCACTGGTGATGATGCAGCAACACCAGAGCACTGCTTACACTTCCAAATCCCATCTGCTGACAGAAGCATTTCCTGGTTCAACATGCAAGCGCAGGTTCATAGGAATGGGCATCTAGCAGGAAGCACAGCTATCAGTGATTCTTCCAGTCCTCAGTCTTGTGAGATGAAATAGCTTTGTTTTAGCTGCTTGCACCAGTGTATATGTGACTCCACAGAGCAGAGCTCTGCTTCCAGCCTGCTAGGGTAAGTGCTCTAACTTAAGGGACTGGGAGCAGAAACACAACAGGAGGGAAATAAAAGAAAATGATCCAGATAGATAGCTCAAATCTTCCTTCCCTTCACTGCATTTTTATTTGGTTTTGATGTGGTAAGTACCCTATCTTTGACTGCTTTACACCTCAATGCATGTGGGTATATGTAGGGTGAAGAGAGTAGCTGGTTATGCACAGTTCTGACCTGCTTTACCTTCATTTTTCTCTTGACTAGGGGAGGCATACAGTAAGAAATATAATTTACAATGTCCATGAATGCACCAGCTCCTCCTGGTTTAATTTATAATCTGCATGGTGGCCTGTGGTTCTGTCAGAAGGGATTCCCCATGCGTGCTACAATTTAAACTGTGCAGTGGGTGCCCTCAGCGCTGAGTTCTACTTAAAAGAATGACTGACAGGATCAATTCCCAGCTCTCTGGTTAGGAGGCTCTGCAAAAAGGGCATGGAGTTGGACAGGCTAGCTAGGTACCCACCAATGCCTCCTTTCACAAACACCAGTATCTTACTTGCGAAGGGCTGTGCAGATACAAATTCCAGAGAACAGGAACAGAAACAGCACGATGAAGATGGGGACAATTATAGCTGTGAGCTTTAAACCTGCATGAGAAAAAAAGAAGGCATAAAAGTTTAAAAGGTAAATTACTCCAAAGATGGCAATTTTTACTACAGCAAGAGGTAGATAATGTTGCAGGAATGCTTCTTGAGGAGAGCATGAAAATATACAACAGTAAAACTAAAAGACAATCCTCAGCCATGGTTGGATGCCATGGACCCGTGTGGAACAATGTTGAAACAAAATAGGTGAATATACTTTCTCAAGAGTTACACTTGACTTGGCAGCTATATGCATCCTTACAAAGAGCAGCTCTTTCTTATTACACACTAGATGACTTTAAAAAAGCCACTCATACACACTCTGTTTGCAGTTGCTTATATATCTGCCAAAGGAGACTGCAATTTTACATGCCAAGTATCTGGCTCATGCTGAACTGGCTGAAACATTTCAGTCAAAATAGCTCAAAGATTTCCAAGAGGGAACCTAGGGAAAACCTGTTTAGCCACTGTTAAATTCTAACACAAAATGCTTTAGAGCGGGGATTTGAAAATTAGAAGTGGGGTGGCTCTTGTGTCAGGAGCGTGCTGTTCCCTGTTTCCACAGACACTTGCCAGCTGGGAGAATAAGGCAGTACAAGTCCACAGGGTATTTACAATTTAGCAGATAAAATCTCAGTGGATTTCATTTTCAGTGAACATGGATATGGTTTGCTCCTACCGCTGCACAGATGAACAGAGCTTGCTTGCTCTTGGCAAGCAGTTTCAGATTTTTTTTTCTTCCACTGATTGCTTCTTACAACTAGTTTTTTTCACAGAGGCATTTCTACAACTATCAGCTACCTAATGGGTAGTAGCATTTGGTACAGTGGGTCTGGCAATTCCTGCCTGGCTATGAGCCCACCAAACAGTTAGTATGAGCACCAAATTTTGTTTGTTTGCTTTTTAAAGTCTATGAAGTTAGCTCCACAACATTAAAGGATGAAGACTGCAAATTCGGGGAGAATTACACAAATTAAGGTTGTCTGAGCCCCCATAAACACAGGCATTATGGAAGAGTGTTTAATTACACAATCAGGCACTGCTGTATGCTGCTTTCAGCTGTGAACTCACTCTGGAAGGAGTCATGGTTGTGTGGAGAGAAGATAACACTTTAGTGAGACAACTACTTCACATACTAAAAAATTCTAAAATACAGGATGAGAGTGAGGAAGAACTCTCCCAAAAATTGCTGCTGAGTGCTCACTGTATTCCCTTGAGCCACCCACCAAGCATGGCAAATCAACCAATATGACAGGGAAACCAAAGCCCAATGTTTAACACATCAAGGAAAATTAAGGCTTTCAATCTCTTTCTGTGCCTTAAGACAAAAAGAACCTATTGCTCCTCCCTCTTCTCTCTGTCATTATTAAAGTCTGAAAGGAAAATAAAATTTTTGATTTGTGAGAAAGTTTAAAGTTCACTCAGACTGGGCTGAAGACATGATGCATCCCAGAGAAAATGCAGCACTAGGTAGTGTTACCCAAGCTAGTTTCTTCAGAGGGGATGGGCTCTGTAACAGTCCTGTCTTCTTTCCCAAGGGAGGTTTCTGTGCTCTGACTCGGTTTCTGCCACATGGAATGGGTGAAGGAGCTGTTAGCTGCAAGAGAGGAGGGGACATCAGTGGCACTGGGCAGCACAGGGGGCTTCAGAGGCACCATGCACTGCTGCTGACCCCATACCTGGCATTATTCTACAGCCCATCAGCTCCAGCTTCAGGGCTATCCTTTGGTTCCAGCTCTGAGGGATGATCCGCACGTAACGGGCCACGATGGGAGGGATGAAGTTATTGCGCACCACGTCACCAGCGTTGGAGTTGCCCTGGAACACCTGCAACGGAAGGGGCACACACATTGTCTGCCTTGCTTTAAAAGCCTCCTTCCTCAAAGTGCTCCTGACATCCAGCTTCAAAGATTTCCATCCTAAGACTAACACACTGATAACCTGGGATTCAGCCACAAGATTTCAGGAATTGAGAGTTCTGGAAAGAAATAATCGTTTCAGTTGTGCCAGATGATCACACTTTTCTGTTACCTTGGAGGAGAAAGATTATCACCGTTTCAATACTGTGGAATTCCCAGTTAATGTATGCTGGTATAATGCTATAATTTTTTATTTAAGAGCACTGCAGCACCCTTTCTTGGAAATAGCAGATAGAAACATAAAATGGAAAAATCTGAAGTGAACCATTTCTAGACATTTTAATAAAATGGTCAGTTTTCTATATCAAACCTGAAGAATGACTATTAACTACACAGTTGTCACTGCATTTATATATTATTACCCAGAATCAGCTCAGCCCCTTGTGCAGAACAATCATCCTTGCAATATTAGTTCTTGGAGATGCTTCAGCATGATCTAGGAAAACTTAAAAGCCTGATGAGACAGAGAAGTGAGCTCAGCATATCTTAGATAAATTGCCAGGCCATATAGGGTTCTGATGGGGCAGGTTCTGTCATGCACCTTAGCTGAAACGAAGACTGTATATAATACTTTCAAAGGATATTTGTATATAACAAGTCACTGTGGGAAACTGCAAGCCTGCATATTTTAAATAGCTAAGCCTTTGCAGTTCACCCACTGCTAGGCAGATTTGTCACTCTTTGGGCCAGCATCCCCTGAGTTTAACATTTTAAAAAATATTAACACCATTAATGTTGGAAATTCCTTGCCATGCAAGCTAAGAAAAGCAGAGCCAGCAGGAAATCTCTCTTCAGCTCTGCCAAGTTTTCAAAAACTGCCATCAGCGCTGAGGACAGTAGAGCCTTCTCTTGAGGCCAGCTGAGATCCCTCAGGAAGGATGGGTCTGACTTTGAACACTGTGAGAAGAGGGAGGAAGGCTTTTGGGAATTCTTTTGTTTGAAAGGAAACATGAAGGTTTCAGGGGAACATGTTCCCAGACAAACTCCACCAGCAGCTCTGCCCTTCACTGGAGGGGTTGTTCCATTTGGCAGGGGGAGGCGGATTGACCATCCCAATGCATTTGGAGCTGACCCTCAGCTTTGCTGGTGCCACACCAACAGCATCCCTGGCACGGGCAAACACTGAGCTGAGCTAACTTGCCCCAACAGCTGCTGTACAGCTCCAGTTACAGCACTCTTTTAAAAGAAGGGTGCAGACATACACATGCCTCCCTGTGTGTGTCCCACAGCTCCACCAATCCCTGGATAACTTCCTTGTTTCAACAAGCTCACTATCTGCTCTGCAGCCATAAATTACACTGGTGAAGACAGCCCAAGTCTAGACAAGTTTGAAACTCCTAATCATTCTTGACAGTGAAAGCTTGCCCTTCAATGTCAAGACAGCATAGGCATTATTGTTTTGTGTTTTCCTACCCTTCCCACTTTCCCTTACCTTTTCTTCATTGCTCAGAATCCCTTTGTAAGTTCTCCATTTTGAGTTGTTATTTTTATAGTTCATTGTAAATGTCTTCACATAAAAGTTGAAATGCATGGATCCAGAACCAGTGGTCTTAATCCCTTTTAAGAAAATGCAAGAAACATTTTCATTTGCTATGTGCCTGTTTCAAGGGAACATTTCCATATGCAAACACAGAAGCCAAATCAATTTGGAAAACTTGATATTCAAGGTGTTAGTTTATTTTTCAAACCATGTTGGAATTGAGTTTAAAAGTTGGGTGAAGAATGGAAATCTGTTTTACATTGTGAACTTAGACAAATAGATATTTTTAACAGAGCACAAAAGGCTCTGGGAGCTGGGTCTGTTCAGCCTTGAGGAGAGATGTCTGAGGGGACCTCATCAATGTCTGTCAGTACCTAAAAGGAGTGTGCCAAGAGGATGGAGCCAGGCTCTGCTCAGTGGTGCCAAGCACTAGGACAAGAGGCAATGAAAGTGATGCACAGAAGTTCCACCTGAACATGAGGAAGAACTTCTTTACTGTGGCCAAACACTGGAACAGGCTGCCCAAAGTGGTTGTGGAGTCTCTCTCACTGCAGATATCCAAGAATTACCTGGACACAATCCTGGGCTGTGCGCTCTAGGATGACCCTGCTTGAGGCTGGACCATATGACCCACTGTGGTGCCTTCCAGTTTTAATCATTCTGTGATTCTGTGACTCCAAAATGAAAACTGCTTTTTGATATTATGGTCTGTATCAGCCATCTTTACATCTTTAGCAGCAACTGTAATTTACATTTTTACAACTAAACCAGGAGATGGAAACAGGAATTTCTTTCACCTAGGCCTTGTTCCAAAGGCTGTGACTTTCACGTTTCTTATTGATTTCAGATCATCCACCCAGACTCCACTGCTCCGTGTGTAAAGTATTTTGTCCTGTCAGCATGTTTACAGATCAGATATGTATAGCTGAGTTCAATCCTATATCCTCGTAGGAACACCAGTCTTGCAAATAGTTTCTTGTTTTAAACAGGAAAATTATATTCCTGAGCGCAGAAAGTGCAGAACACTTAATTACATTTAACAAAAGAAACGTTGCATTAGTGCACTATCAGCTTTCCAGCTGCATTCAGTTTCTTCTCCAGCTGAAACCCTCCGATTCCCAGAGAGCGACATACCCGTGATTCTCTTCTTCTCTCCCAGGTCTATCTCCAGCCATTCCCGGTTGCTGCTGTGGTTGGAGGCCCAAGACCATCCCGGGACTTGTAGCCAAGCCTTGTCTGGGGACCACAGGAGCAGTTGCCCAAATTCATTGGTCTCCTCCCAGTAGGAAGATGCAGTAACCTGGCTCTTGGAGAGGAATCCCTCTTCCAGACTGAGAGATTTGTTGCAGCCTAGGAGTCCCCACACAGACAGGCAGAAGGAGTTATTTTGCATTTTCACAGGATATTTTTATATTAGGCTAGCAACATTTGAAGACCACCCACAACAGCAAAGTCAGACATTGCTGAATCTAGTGCTAGCCTGATGCTCCCCATTAGCTGTGGTGTTTACCAGTCAATTTGTAGCGTATGATCCAGTACCGGAGTGCTGCAGTCCCAATCCTTTACCAGTCTAACTCCTACATACATGACACCTTCTGACTACATCTGCTATTTTTGCCATTTAGTTTTTTAATCTCTGCACTTTTGTCTCATTCCTGTGAAGACATATTTTATTTTTAAATTTTTCCTTCTGAAACATAATATTTATGTTTTGAGATTGGCATTAACTAATTCTGCTGTACAAAACATTTCACAGATGAAGGCACTGTACTGAGAGGAATACTTTACTGTAAATATTTCATGATTCCCACCTGCAATTAGGGCTAGGAAAGTTACTCATTAGAGAAGCTCCTTGATACAGCTGCCAAGATGTGATATCATGAAGATAATATCTGTGGGTAAGCACTACAAACTCCACCAAAGAACCCACAAAGTCTCTGCACATCAAGGTTCTTCAGAGAAAACAGGCCAGTGGAATATGGTTCAATGAAGTTAAAAATAATTCCTTGGCAGATTCAAAGACCTGTACATGCTCTACAGTTTTCAGTAGAATAGTAAATGATTTTATCTCAAATGAGTGAAATATAATTCAAATGAACGAATGCGAACTTTCCCCCCCCTCTTTGCTGTGTTTTATGGAAATGAACGGCTTGACAGATTAAAAGAGGCTTTTGCATCTTGGAAAGCCATAAACAAAAACGCCTTCTGTATCAGTGCAATATAAATATATTTTCATTTCTCTCCTATGTTTTCTTTCTCCGCTTGTATGATGAAGATGGAAATTACAAATATCTGAAGAAAAACTGCTTTCATTTTCTGTAGCCTAAAGTACATAAAAATGGGATTATCTGATTGTCATTTTTCATATGCTGGCACCAGAAATGTAACAGCAGAATACTATTTCTGTTTCTCATCTATGTGCGTATGACCGCACATATTCTGTGTTTTTTCCTAGCTCACTTCAGATCCCTTCAATTTTTTTATTCACTTGCCAATTTTAAAAAACTGTTGTCCTAAAATATCCTTCCTAGACACAGCCTGACATTCTCCTGATTATTTTTTAAAACTTTTACAGAAAATATTTAAATAGCTCAAAACAAAGCAATTTTTCTTACCATTTGAAGTAAACGTAAATCTCTTATCAGACAGAGAACCACTGTAAGAGAAGAAAAAGGTAATTCAGCCTCTCATGAGGTGGTCACAGGAGTGCTGAGGTAGAGCTGCACAATCACTGTTTATCCAGTAAAATATCTCTGGCCAGACAGCCACTTTCTCTGCTGGATACTGACCCCTGTAAGAGCACCCAAGTGCGTCTCTCACTGTGACTGAATTCAGGTAATTTTTTCATGGTTTTGAGCATTTTTTAAAGCTTTAGAGTGATTTCCCATTGCCTCACCCTGTTACTCCTGCTGCTTGTGAAAGAGCTACACTCGATGGAGACAAAACCACACCAGCTCTGGCCATTCCTACTTGGGTTACAGGTGTGTCATAGGATGAAAATGGGATCAAAACTGCTCCTTGTTTTAATCTGGGTGGGAACCAGTTCTGTTATAACCACAGCCAACATCTCCCATCAGGAATGGTTCTTTATGCTCCATTAAACACATCTATAGCTCCCTTTTTCTTCCTCCTTCTGACAGGGATTGTTTTGCTTCAGGGGAAAAGCCATTTCTTGGGCCACTCCACACAGCCCTGCACAATGCAGGACAAGATAAAATCACCACTCTAAGGGAGAGCTGAGTTTTCCTTGGCCTCTCGGGGAGCCGCTTTCTAATTCCCAAGGAGATGAAACCCTGAGGTTTTATTCCAGAAGCAATGAATCCAACTGGCTGCTTAATAAAAAGAAAAGCCAGGGCTTTAACATGAAATTAGTTTGGATTTCTTGAAAATCTGCCCCCTCCACTGTCACTTCAATTGGCTGCATGCATCACTGGCCCCTTTTGAAAAGCCTTGGCTAGCGTGACTAAGCAGTAAAACAACTTCTGCACCAAGCATGGAGACAGTTCCCTTTTAGGCTGCTCTTTCTTTGTTTTTGGCCAGGAAAATTTCCCCCAAGCTACTGTCTGCAGCCTCACCACGGTGTTATATGTTTTGCAGGGCTATATGTTTTGAGAGCACTGCAAATGGGGAATAGGAAAGTAGTCCCATGTCAAGGTCAATAAAAACACTGTCTTTTTTTGTCACTGAGGGAAAACTAATGACTACAGGCAAACGAAGCCCTTCAGAGCTCTGGGTGGGAGCTGATTTATTTGGGCATGTAGGCAGCTGAGTAGCTAGAAGGGGAAACACAAGCCCTCCCTCCCACATCTTCCCCCCAGGCAATCCTTGGGGGCAATCAGATGCACTCTGCTCACTTCAAACCAGTTCGACATCACAGCCAAAACAGTTGTTGATTTCTTAGTGAAGGCAAAGCAATTCATTTCAAGGGAAAAGAAGAAAATAAATACCTAAAAACCTACCCAAAACAGCAATCACAGTGCTCCTTGAATACTTAAAATGAAAAAAAGTCTACCAGAACCCTTTCAAATAGAGCACTGCAAATTTAGCAAATAGAGGACTGCAAATTTAGCAAATCAAGGTTAGCACTTCTAAGGTCTACAAAACTATGAAATCAAGCTGATAAATTTCTACTGCAATTCACTAAAGAGAACAAGCCAATTCAGTAAGTGGTAATTCATCAGTTTCCTAATGTGACTGCTGGAATTTTGTCACACAGGTTCCACTTTGTCCTCTTAAGGGACGGAATCACTCCATGTTCCTCATTTGCCTGACAAGCTTCAGGATCCTGCCTTTCTTTTTTTGTTCTTAGCTAGTCTCAAGCAAACTTCTCCTAAGCAGTGTAGGTTAACCCCAAATCTCATCTTTCACTGTTGACAAGCATACAGCCTCTTGCATTTTCAAAGGCAAATGATTCCACATGTGCAGAGGTACAGCCACAGGCCAGGCCATGCTACAGCACCTGTGTATTTGCACTGGGGTATCAGAACTGCCCAATAAACCCAGCAATTGGGCTTCCTTACAGCATCTGGGGGTGCAGGTCTGCACAAGGATCATGGGAAGCGACAACCTCACACATGCTGGAGCGTAACAAACACACTGAGACATGGAGTGGGGAGGCCAAGGTCAGCTCTTGCAGGGTGCTGGGCGAGCAAGACATAACTCCATGTTAACAACACAACACTTAACAGCTCGATGCACTCCAGCAGCAGCTTTTGATGAGGTCAATTTCGGCTAAAGTCGCTAAATAATTTAAACCTTTAATACTGAAATCCACTATAAATGAGATTTTAAAAGCTTGAGCAAGCTCTTATTTAAGGGCATCTAAAAAGCTCTTAAGGCACTGCTGCTCAAGCACCAGTTTTTCCATGCAGACACTGGCTCATCTGCAGGATTTTCTTTCAGCATGTAGGCACTGCAGAACAGGGAAGCCATGCAGCTTTGTAGATACCGCTTAAAAAAGATTTTTTAAAGCACAAAATGCATTGGTTCATTTTCTTAGTAAACAGGCCTACTGTTTCGAGGAGCCCTTTTTCATGTTTTGGAACAAAAGCATTTCCCTACATACTCCAATCTCCTCTCCTGGGCTCACACCAACAGTTCATCTGCTCCAGAGACTGTCCCAGCTGCCAGGTGTGGCACAAACGTCCTAGGAAGGGCTGTGCTGACATTCCCATTTTCCCAAACTCTGTGCCCTCTAGTTTGCAGGCAGTGAGCCTGTGGCTTCCTGTAGAACCTGCAGAAAACTTCTGTTGTCTCCTCAGGGCAATTCTGTCCCTTGGAGATGTGCATCGTGCTCGAGGAGTGCCTCTGCCTGTCCCTGTAGGCAGGAGAGCTACAGGGGCTCTGCTCCTCCTCAGGGTTCTCTCTCAGGCCCTCATATTAAATGTGCACGTGTACACTTGCAGAATTACATACTTCATTTCACTGGCTCTTGTACTGGGGAAAAAAAATACCAATGGGAATCACAACACCCTTTCATTATAAAATTTTATGTACTACTGTCCGAGTTACTCCACTGGGATTATCAAGGGTCACAAGCATACGAATGTATGTGAACAGTTCTGTAACATCTTTATGTAAGGTACAAAATATTTAATTTAGGGTTTCACTAAGCTGGCACGTGTGATGGAAAGAATTTGTATTATTTGTTTAATGGAGGGGCTCGGTGCCTGACCAGAGCTCTCAGTCCTGCTTTGCTTGAGACAAGTTTATATTCATTTTCTCTGGCAACTAACTTTCAAAAAAAAATGGAAAATATTTAGGCTGTACAGTTCTTTGGCTATGATCTACATACTACCCAGTTTTGTATACTCCAGTGCCATTGTATATAAAGCATTTCAGTCTCTGCTGAAGTTTAAGCACAGCAACAGAGCACAAGAATGCCTTTTTTTTTAATGAATGAAACCATGATTGTAAAATTGTCAGGAGGGTGTCAGAAATCATGGAGAAAACAGGAAAATAGTATAAAAATTACATATTGCCTTAGCTCTCATAGGTTATGGGATGGAAATTTCCCTTCTTAAAAAAGAAAAAAAAAAGGCCCCATGTAAAATCCAGATAACATTTGAAAATTAAAAACTATAAACCAACAGGAATGACAGAAGCAGTTGCTGGAAGGTCTTACTGTGCTGGATAGAGATTAGAGGATTTATTTCTACTTCAACAGCAGTACAATTAAAAGTCAGAAGATAAGCGGTAAATATAACACCCTTGCTATAAATATTCTAAAAGAGAAAAACTCTGAACATGTCAAAAGCACAATGTTTAAGAAGTTGTTCATTAAATCCCCTATGGCTCAATGGCACTTTTTACTTACTCATTTTTCCTAGCTTTCTTTAAACTTCAACATGAATTTATCATGATTTATTAGCTCATCGATTAAAGCTGTTTGTTGCAGAACATCATACTCTCAAGTATCTGCTAACAAAGCAATTTGTAAATATCTTTTGGAAGGAACAGAAGGAAAAAAAAATGAAAATACCATCCTACATTGGGCCACTGAAAACCTGAAACCTCTTCCTACCTCCATTGCCAACACCATTTTAATAAAGCTCTAGAAACGCACCTAACATCTTTTGCTCCCCAAAATGGCATCCCAACCCACATGTGCAGGTGGCAGCAGTGCCCTGTGCCCGGTGCCAGCCCGGCCCAGCCGTGGTACTCACTCGAGGGAGGGGACGCCATTGGCGACGGCGCCCTGGTAGCGGCTGATGCCCTTGTGCTGCGTGACGCTGATCTGCCCGCCCAGCTCGTCCGCCAGCACGCCCGCGTGGATCGCTGACTTGCACAGCAGAGACGTCTGCAAGGCAGGAGCCACCGCTCAGGAAATCAATCTGACACGCTGCTAATGCCTTCCCTCCCAAGCATACAGGTGTTACAGCTCATAAACTCCAGCAAAAGCTCACGAGGAGTAAGAGGCAGGGGTGGGAGAAAGAGGAGTAATCTTTGAAAAATATACGTCTCCCAAAGTAATTTTTCTTTTCAAATGAAAAAACAAATGGTCTGCTTCTGAGAAGAAGCTGCAAGATTGTCACTCCTCAGGAAAAAAGCATTCAAAGGCAAGGCAACACTTCCTTGGGAAGATAAATTAATAATTCCTTGGTGCTCTTGCCTGAAGACAGACCCATCTATTACTGCACTTTAGGATTTGAATTATGGTGCACATTAGGGGTTTGGCTATGTGTTGAGTAGCTGCTGCTGGGTTTTAAGTGCAGCCCATTTCCATTATCTCAGGTGGGATAGTGCTAGATAGATAGAAAAATACAGGAACTATTGCCAACCAGGTGGCAATAACAGGGCCAGGGCAGAGCAGGAAAGAGACAGAGAAAGGTAAAAAAGAGACTTTCCTAGGGGCTGCAGGCAGAGGCAGGTGAAATTCTTACTGGCCCAGTTTGGGCTGTGCTACTGGACAAGCTGGGGTGCTGGGCTGTCCCCTCCAGGGAGGGGTGGGGAGAGCGGAGGCACAAAGGCAGCACATCTCCAGGGGAGCCCTGCAGGTTCTTCCCATCAGAAAATCCTCCTTAATGGTGGAGGGGAAATTTCTTTTGCAAATTCCTTAGTATAGATAAAATCTGCATGAGGTCATGCCATGTGCTACTTTTCTGCCCTAATCATTGGAACCAAGGGCAGAATAACTTCAGCTAATGAGAATGTAATGTGGCATTTCTTTGTTTCTTCAGCTCTGCCACTTTCCAGGCTGGAGCCAGCACGCTTGAATAACTGGATGAACAGGTTAAACATGAGCACTGACTTTTCAGAAACTCAGTGACTGTGATAGGGTGGGATTTTTCTTCAGTGGTGTGATTAGGCTTACTCCTCTGTGAGAGAGGTAAAGATTTCACAGACATGACAGGAGAAGAGTCCAGGGTGAGGGACACAGAGAGGGCAGAGCTCTGAGCCATATGAACTGCAGATAAATGCAACCACTTCAACTTTCTCAGTTTGAAGAACAAGAAGTTAAAACAACCCAGGAGGTTGGTAGTTACCAGTGGGATGTGGTTAGGCAGTGTTTAATATTTATTTCATCTCAGAGCATATGCTAGGAATAGTGCAGGCATGATCTTAAAGAAAGCCCACATGTTACTGAAATGTATCTTTTTCACATGTGGACACCAAACAAGTAAAGGCTAAAATCATAGAAATATTTCATACATGGATGAGCACTGCCTCAAGAAGGACAAACACTGGGGCAGGCTTTTTCCAGAAAGCCAGAAACCACAAGTCAGTAGGTATATTTGACGATCAGTGGACTTTGTTCTCACACAATTGATTTGTCTGTTTGAAAAGCGTCTCTGTGTGCTTATATACTGATAACTTAACTTATATACTGATAATAAAAGGTATAGCAAAACAGCCCAGAAGAATTACTAACAAAAGTCAAGCAGCAAAAGTTGAAACCGAGTTGTTCTATTCTTGTTTCTTTTGTCTTTATAAATTTGCCCCCATTACCCTGTGTACTTACATCTCTGTATCCTTCTCCAATATTCCCAGAAATGTCACCTGCTATGTCTCTGCAGCCAGCAGGACAGTATCTACTGCAGTGAGAGAAGAAAGGCTTGTTTAAGGCATGAACTGTAGTGACAATACACACAAACAAACTCCTATAAAAGAGATGCTCTCAAACCAATAAATATTTTAGCAGTAATTTCTCTAAATTACTGATGCTCTGTTAGTGAGTCTAGGACCTAAATAAATGGGCCTTTGAGTTCATAGGTGGACTGAACACAGTAGCACACAAAGACCTAGAAAAGCAGTTTAGCAAGGGCATTTATTTCTATTTAATTCTCTTGTTCTAGAAATGCTACCACACAAGTTTTCAGAGTAAGATAAGAAGCCTATATGCACATCCAGACAGCAGCCAAAAGAGCACAATTTATTACCATTTCAAACCTATCACAAAGTTCAAGGAACCGAGAAATTCTAGCTTGTCCTCAGATAATCTTGTATCAGCTGGGACGTGATCTGCTCCCAGAGGAAGCACTGGAATTTGAGGCTACTTTGAATTTCAAAGTGGAAACTGTTTTTACATATACCATGTATATGTATGGACTTAATGAGAATTCCTGAGAGCTCTGCAACTCCATTCCATCATTTTTCTGGGCCACAGTCTTCCATTCTGCACTAGTGCTTCTCACAACCAGCCATTAGACTATTACTCAAAAAAATTCACTTCTCCAGAAAACCAAAACACTTTAACATTTTCTAACAATTGAATAAGTTGACAGATACTGCAAAGCAAGCCAGAATGCAGAGCTGGAAACCCTCTTTACCTGAATTCAGCCTTTGTGTAGTGGTTTGCTCGTTCCAAACACGTGATCAGATCTGTGAAAATTTACAAATGTCAATTCCAATTGTGGGATATAAAATTACAGACAAATATTTGCCAGAACATGAAATTACATTTAAAGACCTCTTTGTATAATACTTTAGCAATTTTATTAGACTGGAAGCAATAGCTATGGTTTTCTTTCATTCTTTTCAACTTCCCCTTCTATTCTTATGCTTTACACCTTCTTCAAAGTTGAACAGACCTCCAGAACATTAAATGTGGGAATGAAAACTTTAATCCCTCTTACTGCTCCCTTCTATCACAGTGTGCTGGGTGCTGGAGCTCAAAACACAGTTGAGCTGCAAGGAGAAGGCACTATTTTCCCCTCTACTGGCCCTGTATTGCAAATAGTCTAGGTAGGATTTCAGCAGCTATTGTATCTGGTTAATGTTACAACTGTTTTTTACACACATGCTATTAAAAATACCATGGCTCATGCTAATCTGGAAATATTTAGGTACAAACTTTAAGGCTAAAGCTTTATGTCTGTAAAGATTGCAATTAAATAGGGGGAGCCATGCCACTAATCTACTGTTTTTGGACATCACCTTACCTGGATGATCACTGCTGGCATAGGACAACAAAAATCCTCGTCCTGACACGTGGGATCCACTCTCAAAGTGAATAGTTGCCTCGTTGCTATCTAGAATGATTTCTTTGGGGACAGGCATCACATTACCACAGTAGGGCCCTAGAGACAGAACAAAGAAGGTTTCAAAAGTTTAGATGACGTAATTAGGCTGGGAAAGTCTCATGATTAGCAGAGAATTTCATAACACACTCATTCTCTTTCAGTATCAACCCAAATGTTGACAAAAGGGTTTTGGCTTCAGTTCTTTATGGGTATGAGCTCTAAAGCTACCCTGACAAGCAGTGGCCAGGATCCAGTTGTCTCTGCATGGCAGCAATTCCAGCATCCACATTTCTCTTCACATAAGCCTGAAGAGAAGGATTAATGCCCTTCAACCTTTGAAGTACAATGCGCTCACAACCAGCAGTAACTCATTAGAGAAAATGACACTACATTCAAAAGCAATCCAAGGGATCTAGGCAGGGTCCCTGAGATAAACCCTCCAAACACACACAGCTCATGCCATTGTGGCACAGCAGCCAGTCAGAAAGGATTAAGATCAGATATAGAGCACCTGGTTTTCAAGGACCTGCATGCCACAAGCCAGATTGTGCTCCAAGGCAGTAACACTTCCCTTAGAAAATTTCCTAAGCTTTTTCCATGTAAAAGCACATGGTAATATACAGTTCAAGTCTCTAGAGTTTTAAACAAAAAAGAGAGGGAGAGAAAGGGGAAGGTGAAGGGAGTGGGACAGGGAGACAACAGCCTTGTGCTTACAGTGAATTAGATGAGAGTTTTATAGCTACCAACTGCAGTATCTTGGAACAGTCTTTGGGACACTCCTTTCTTGTGACAGCAGGCATGCCCAGGACTCATAGTAATTACATTTGCTTCTCAGAAAGTCAGTTCCCAAGGGGAGTGTTCCTCTGAGACTGCCAGTCTTTGCATTTGCCTTCTGTCACCATACCTGGGTGCAAACATTTGTCCCTAGCTGCCCTCAGGCACAGATAATACAGAAAATTCAAAGCAGTTTGGATATACTTGTTCAAATTTATGAGTCTATGTACAATATAAACTGCAAAGAAGAGTTTTTTTTAACATGGCAAAGAGACTTTTTCCCCAGAGGAAAAAAAAAATCCAAATGACCCTTTACAAGCCCTCAGCCCATCTGTTCTGCTGAGGTGAATGACAGCTTTTGTGTCCTAAAGCAAGCCTTTGGGACAAAAAACAACCATTTTGATTTTTCCTAGACAACCTCATCTTGGTGGTGGTGGTGGCTACTTTAGGGCAACTTGGAAGTGACTTCTGAGACACAAGTAATTACACTCACATCATGACACAAATCTGAGGAGTGATACCCATCATAACAGGCTCCTAAAAGCTTCTTCATTTTGCTTGGTGCTCTGGGTTAGGGAAGGGGCTCTTTTCCAAATGCTTCATTTGCCTTATAACAACTTTAAGGTCAGCCTATAGAGTGGCCCAATCAGAGCCAGCTGTCAGCAGAAGGGACAAACAAAAGGAGGAACTCTTGTCCTTTTGGCTTAAAAATCGTATGGTGAAGGCAGGCAGGCAAGCAGAGAAACAAGCGACGAGTGTGACATTTCCCTGGAGTACTCATGTGTTGAAAAATGACTCACGACTTAGTCAGAGAAAACAATGTCTATAAAAAGGGTTAAATAAATTGCTTAGGAAATGAACTTATCAAAAAGACAGCATCTGACACTATGTCATACCAGTCAACTGCACGAGTGATTTATTTGAGAAGGTCTTTTGTGTCAGGTTGCAGTGGGAGAAGTGCTAACTTAGATATTTTTCTGAGAGAGAGAGAAATGGGGGAAAGACAAGGAGCATTGCACGTCTTCAAAATAAAGCACCTGAGAAAGCTTTAGTCCTTTTCTTCTCTCAAGGACTGTCTCTACATATTTTCTCACAAGTGTTCTTTGGATTTCTCCCTCGCAGCCATTGGCAGTGACCTGTCTACTCTGGAGGTATAATTTAGATGGCTGATTCACACAACCACACATCAGCCGGATCAGGGATGAGTGTCTCCTCCAGTAGCAAGTCTACATGCGTTCCAGGTAATTATACAAACAAATCCTACATCATGACAAAACCAATAAAATAAAATAAAATATAAAATAGTCTAGACACACAGAGCTGTATAATCCAAATTAAAGCAAGAAATTCAGAAGTGATCAGCGTAAGAAACCAACATTCAGTCTAAAGACAAGTGTCCACTATGAAGTAATAAATCTAAAAAGGTTACCAGGCTATGGTTATCCTCTGCCAAGAGCAGTTCTGGCATACCACGAGATTCCCATAGGTAGCTCAGAAAAAAGGGAGCCTAGGATTAATTCCTTAAAGGATATAGAAGTAAGAAAGAATATATACTTAAGGGAGGAATATTTTCCAAAGGTTTATAAGTTTTCTGCAACGATTTGTAACAAAAAAAAAAGGGGGGGTGGGCAGGTAGAATTTATTAATACTATGAAATATTCCCTTGTTCTTTTGTTGCAAACTGAGGACGCCTTGCAAAACATTTCAATATATTTCTTCTCAACAATTCAGATAATTGAATTAAACCTTATCAGCACTACACTGTCAGGTCCTCAGACTTGCCTGGGCTGTCCACATGAATACTGTACAACCACAGTGAAGATGAGAGATGATGGAGAAAGCCCCAGTATGAAAAGGAGAAACTTGCTTATAGGGTCCTGTTAATTTTTACTGCAGCACTTGGACTTGACTCTGGATAAATATTTAATTCCTAAACCTGGGACTTAGCCAGAAGTGTTTTAAGATCCCTTTTGAGAACTGCCAGATCACGTTATCAGTTTTTCATCTTCTAATGTTAGTTGTGAGGTGGGCTGTTTTGCATATTCGGCTTGAAAAACGAGTCATGAATGCTGATCTCTCTCAGCTTCCTGTTAAAGTGACTTGGCTGGAGCCCTGCTGGGGTAAGTAGGCAGGATTATCTGGTTTGTTTATAAGAACAAAGGAAAGAGTTTGATTTAATAAACAGATGTGTTACATGTGATGAAGCTGAGTAGGTGTTCTCCATATTTCAATATTACTGTATCTAGATGCCAGGGCCTTTCCTTCTTCCTGTGTCTCATTAAGAATTTGACCCAACTGTGGTTCCGTCTGTTCACTCCAGATTCCTTTTATACATATTTATAAAAATTCTGCAGGAGACATATTAGGGGTCTAAGGATTTTAACCACACTCATTTTAATATTCTCCATAATTAAACTAACTTTTAATGCCTTTCATATAGAATATCTGATCTGTTGGTATGGTTTAGGTGGCTTAAATAAAACACTTCTGTCTCCAAGCAGTATTAACATCCTGCAAGACACACAGTAAATTGTCTTGTGGATATCCTTTGGCTGGCCCCTCTGGAGACTGAAGAAACTATTTTACACTTTGTTTATTTTTTCAATGTTAGCAATAGCCTACTGCTTTTGTCTTTTTCATAACAGTGTTGTTTTGCAAATCTGATGATCTTTACAGCATTGTCTGGTTTTATGAGGTCTAGTTTACTTCTACTGTCAAGCAGGCTCTGGCACAGCTCCTGAGCTTTCCTTGTTGAATTATGTTCCTTTATTTTTTCCACTTCCCTTGAGAAGTACTGTGCCCAGAGGACTCTCTTCTTTCACACCAGCTGGCAATGCCTACATGCTGCTTATTTCTCTAATTCTTAATACTTTCTGCCTCTTCTGTAAGGCTTTTGCTTCCTTTTAGAAGCAATTATTTCCCTCTTCAGCTATTGAATGGCCAGTTCACTATGCTCATTCTGCTTTCATATTCCTCAACTTCATTTGAAATCTGCAGCTTGGCATTTGCTTTAAGTCAAGTCTTTAAGAAACTTGGTTTGGATATTAAATAATTATGTCCTGTGTTCAACAGAGAACCTTCTCCCTTTTTTCAGTCTTTACTTGCAGAGTAAGCCATGGTTGGCAGGCAAGAGGCAGCAACAATTCATGGATGTGCCTCTAAACGATTATCATGTCTTAATGTATTTGTTTGGGGAAAACAATGTTTTAAATTGTAGCCTTTTCTCAAATTAGTCAATTTGGAACTACCTCAGTAGCTGGGAAAGGACAGGGGATGAGATGAACAGGGATTACACTTGTTTCACTTCAGACCTAAAAACTCATCCAGAGTACAAGTCTTTCACAAATAGTTCACAAAACCAGCAAGGATCTGTTGTATGAAAACACCTTCAGTCTCAAAATCCATCTTCATCCCGCATTCACACAAATACTTTGATAAGCAGTAACTCTTCCTCTCCCCCTTACTAAGAGAGGTTCTCTTTGCTCCAGCCCTGACACACACATGGTGCAGTAGGAACCAGCAGGACCCTGCAAGGACACAGAAAGTGCTGCTCTATGTCTTTCCTAGCAATTTAACACTGCAGATACGACATGACAGAGCAGTCAGGATGAGACAGCCTGGTTATTCAACATTTAACTCTCTGCAACACAGTCTGACCTCAGGCTGAGTGGTGAGCATTTCTTGTTTCAGGAAAAACAAACACAACTTTCGGTTAAAGTTTCCAAAGGGTTGCCAAAGACTGCAACAAAGGAAAGGAAAAGGCATCTGAGTTAGGTTGGGGAAGTAATCACAACTTTAAAATGGAGCATCTGCACCACCTGCACAGGCTGGTCTGCCTGCTTGACCTCAGGTGAGATTGCCTCTTTTACCATGGTTGTGGTTTTAGCCAAATCCAAACACAGAAACACAGCAACAACTAGGAATCACGAGTGAAGAACCGTACTTTACCAAAGAAACCAGAGGTTAACACACTGTATGCAGCTAACAGGAAAAAAGGTGCGTTTGATAAAAAAAATGCTGACATTCTTTGTTGCATCAATCCTTCCAAAGCTGGAAACTCAGGATACTGCAACCACTCAGGTGAAACCCATCTGTTAAAAGTGTTTTGACTGTTAAGAAACTGCTCAACTTGATCTTCAGCAAGAACTTGTCTGGGCATTTCTCTGGGTTTCCTGAAATACCAGAAACAATACAGTAATAACAAGTTTCCTTTGAGGGATGAAAAAGAAATCTGGACACACCCTTTATTCAAGCAAGATATTTATTTCAATACATAATAAGGAGCAACTGGTTTGGTGAATCCCCTCAAGCCATAATGACAGGCAGGAGGCATCCGAAGGCGCTCTGTACCTTTAGTGATGGGGTGTGGGGAGAAGAAAGCATTTTCAGTAAATTCTCTATTTCACGTTAGTTACCAGCTGTAAATTATGCAAGAACAAGTCAACTGCACTAACTCTCCAAATTATAACTAGTCACTCAGCAGCTCTGACATCCACCCCAGAGGAACACATCAACCTCCTACTGACTGCAAGTGAATGAGGAAGTAAGTAGGCACTTATCTCTTCTTTTGGCTTTCTCTCCAGTCAAGACTGATGATCATCTCACAAAATTAAGGGAAAAAATACCAAGCCATTAGATGGGGAAGAGATAGAAAAAAAGCAAAAAAAGGGGTCAAAAGAGGTACAGAAATTTGATAGAGACATTAAAAGAAGCAGACTAAAAGCAGTTCCTGTCAAACTTTTAAAACATCTATGATCCACCTTCATAAGTAGTGCAAATTTTGTTCCTGAGAACTACAGGGCTGACATGGTTAATCTTGTTTTCACATATCCCTTTAACTAATTAAAAAATCAGAAGCTCTACTTCAGAGCTCAGTATTTTTAATATGCTCAGATAATGCAATTAACTCGAGAAGAAAAGCATTTCGGTGAAGGCTGCACCTTGTCTGCACTGTGAGATTATGCTCATATTAATTTTCTGTGGGACAAAAAAACACCATATTCTAATCCAGTCAAAAACTGTGCCTTTGAAACAGACCACGATCATCTATTTATTTCTCACAGACACAACGTGTGCAAAGCTGTGCTAATATTTAAATGTTTGTCAGACAAAGGTGACTCAGTTTCACCAAAATGGGTGTTAGACTCCCTTTGCTGACTGATGATTAATATTTTCACAGCTATGTCTGAACACAGAGCTAACAGCTTGAAAGAAAAGGCTTGCTACAGGTTCCTTTCTCCAGTGAACACTAAAGAAAATAATTTGCAGAGTAATAACTCAGAGATATACTGTCAAGACCCTGTATGACTTCAGTTTCAGAGCTTCATTAAAATTATTTAACTATCATCTTTTAATTGCAATATTGGAGAAATATTAATTCAATAGCTGCTTTCACAGGTCCATCAAAGCTGAGAAGTACCAAAGGTGAGAAGAACTGTAGTGTCACATTTGTGTTTGAGTTGAGACTGAGAAAGGCTTCAGTAGATCAGCACACAGAACCACTGCATGCTTCTCTAGGAATGAATCATACTCTTCTATCCATCTGCAAAATTCAAGGAATGTCCAGAACGTCTATAAAATCTGCAGGTAGGTGTTCTAATCTGTAGTCACCACCTTACTGAAGTAGCATCAATATTCCTGCTAACATAAATCAATTAATTCCTTCATTTGTAGTTAACAGATTCCCTTTGCTGCATGGAACATAAATACCCCAAAGACAAATTGAGTTACTCCTTGCTGTATTGCAAGAATCCCTGCAGATGGTTATAATGATGAATGAATCACAGTTATATGTAAAGACTGGAAGAAATCTGAAAGGAAAACAATACTTTATCATCTGGAGCCTTCTTCACACTAATTTTATATTTGTATACATAGTCTAGTATTTTGCCTCTGACCAATTTTCCAAGCTTTAGATATACTCCTCAACAGATGTTTTTATTCATACTGACATTCATGCTGTTGTTTTCTGTAGAGCTGAAGAAATCAGCATGATATTTAAAACATATTTCCCTTTGGACCTCATTGTCTTGTAATTGCAAACCTCCCAAATAAAGAGCAAAGGCTGCTCAGACTAATTTGAAACATGAGCAGCATTCCCATTGTCATCTTTCATACTTTACTTTTTAGGTTTTCCTTTTTAAACCCAGGTCAAATACAGAAAACACACCAAGATTAGTTTTTAATTGCTCAGATGTTTTCAGCGCTTGCAAAATATTTTCAGGACTCCATCATCCCATGAAAGAATTTTGATGTCTAAGGTCAGTATCTCCTCAGCCAGAGGGAGGATGTTGACCTGCCTGTAGATGTTCATGAAGAGGGAAGGGTTGCAAAGAGGAGATCTGAGTTCAGAAACAGCTGTCTAAAAGGACACTTAACAGACTGAATGAATGTAGCAGTGCTTATTCATAGGGCTTCTTTCACTTGAATAAATGCATATTGAAACCCAAAGCTATAGCAAGACTGTTGGAAAAAATGACTTAGAGAAGCTCTAATCTCATCTAAGAATTCACGTGTCTTTTAAAACATAAGCAACATAATGAATGTATGCCTATAGAACTATTTCCACATCCATTCTGCATGGGTTTGCCTGAACATATAACAGACACTCTGTAGGTATGCTGGTGGGAAAGCCTACAGTGAGCTGCAGACCACAAAAACCATTACAGATGGTAAGTCTGCCTAAACTGTAAAACTGGTTTAATCAGATATGACCAAAATCTGCTAATTGTGCAGGTCACTACTGAGAATGCAAATTACAGTCCACATGCATCAGACGTTACTAATCAGATCTAAAAATGGGTGTGGGAATACTTTAAAAAAATTAATTATGTGGACTTGGTTGCATAATACACAGCCATTCTGTGCTTATAGGCTGAATAACTGCAGTATAAATGATGTGAAGATGCCTTCAGGCTGATCTGTAAGGAGCCAGAATTTCAATCAACATCCAAGCTTCATTTTTCACTTCAAAAAACAGTATGTTGATTTATCCCTGTTTCCGAGAAGATTTAGATTAGAAATGTCAAGAGAGTATCAATAAAAATTATTCAGAGATATGCTAATGCAATAATAACCACCTATTTCTTACTGCCAAGTACAGACAGACTGCTTCAGGTGAACACAACTCATTACTTAGTTACAAAACAGATCACAAAACTATGGAATGGCTTGGGTTGTAAGGGATCTTAAAGAGCATCTAATTCCAACCCTCCCTGGCATGGGCAGGGATCTTCCACTAGATTAGGTTGGTCAGGTCCCCATCCAGCCTGGCCTTGAACACTTGCAGGGATGGAGCTCCACAGCTTCTCTGGGCAACTTGTTCCAGTGCCGCATCCCTTCTCACTTCTCAGTGAAGAAAGAAATAAATAACACTAAGAATTCCAGCAGACATGAACAGAGATGCTCCTTATGCCTCAAATCAAGCTCTGTGCAGGCTCAGATATCAGCATGTCACTGCCCACTCTTACTGAAGGCTGTTTCAAAATGTAATACCTCCCCCATGAGAACAATAATTACCTTTACCTTCCTTTGTGAGCAAGCCTTTAATACCTCACTTGATCTTCTCTTACCAGATGAGTGATAAGCCCATCATGCTGATAAATGAAAGGCAATCAAACCTCCTTACTACTAAGATATCCTATGAGATCTCATCTTTGGAGAACCACATACTTTTCTGAGCCAAGCAGTGAGGTGGAAAACGTGCAGAGGCTCTGTGCAGCTCATTTCTTCATCACATATTTCCCTCGAATCCATTCTGCTTGTTAAGCCCAGGACAGTACATTTAGCCTCAGCTGACTGAAGGGCTACACAGCCCACTCCCAGCAGGCAAAATTTTATGAACTGTCAATTCATGAGGTAATTCCTACATTGCATAACTCCTTGCAGCTTTGAATTTAAACTGGATTTCTGAAAAAGGGTGCATGACTTGAAAATCAGTTTGACTCTTCTAGAAAGTGCAGATCAAAAGTTTCTGTGACAACTGGTTGGGAAAATCATTTTGAGGAAGGCCTCATGTTCTCCCTGGGGAGAATCCTGTTGCCATTATGATTGTTTTACGTGCACAGCTGTAGCAGATTATTTGCTTATCTTCCTGTGCAAATCTCTTACAAGAGCGCAGTCTGGCTGTATGCATTTAATATCTGCAAGTACATTAGTAAGGTGGCTGACAGCTAGCAATAGTAAAGGTTATCTCTTCTCTGAGCCATGGACTGCCTAGGAACAGAGACACACAGGATCACTGACTCCAATTTCTCATCTTTGTCTAGTTTGTGAGGAAGCTCTTCCCCTGCTCAAGAAGGGAGCAGGGCTGATACAGATCTACAGACTTGCTGTATGAAACTGTGATGGTCCAGCTGTGCAGGTGTGAAGGCAGAGCCCTCAGGAGTGCTGCGCCCGAGCCCCAGCAGCCCCTCTGCAGCACAGCACAGCAGCACCCTCAGCCTTGGCAGAACCACACGTGGTGGGACAGTGGCTTCCCACACAGAGAATGAAACACCTGAATACAGAAAGGAGGAGGAGCGCACAAAGGCTGACATTTCTTGCATTTTGCTAAGCTGCTTTTTACTCTTACTTTCACCAGTTCATTCACTGACCATGGCCTTGTCTCTCACATACCATGCAGTGTTGAAGAGCTCTGGATGCTAAGGTAGCTGGACTCGCATTTCTGTGATTCAATATCCAGGTCTCCAATTTTCAAGATCAGGCGTTTTCCTGGAGGCACTTGGATTTTCTTCTCACAAAGAGTGTAGTTTGGGTATGTCCCAGGATAGTTCTTGGATGCCAGTGTCCCACTGTCCTGATACATCACTGTGTGCCCACATCCATCCCCTGCAGAAAGGAAGAGAAACAGAATGTATTCCTCCATAAAAAAAAATGTAAGAAAATTCTTGCTACATAATCATGTCTTGTGCACTCTTCCCTTTTAAATAAGTGTTTTGTAATACTCCACCTCAGTTCTACTGTTGTTGGAACAGAGGTAACTGAAATAAACAAAGTCACATTTCTCTTGTAAAGCAGTAGAAAGAAGGGTTGGAAACCCCCATAAACTGGGGTGTATTTGACAGTAAGATACAGACAGTGTCTCTCTGGCTTTCTGCTTTGTAGCCAAATCCTAATAAATCCCTGAAGATGCAATTCCACATGTAAAGAGCAGGATCCTTCCTTAAGTAATTTTCGCCCAGTTATGAGTCAGCATTTTATTTCCACAGCAATAGCCATCTCAGAGAGGGTAACTGAGTCATACATGAAAGCACAGACATGACTTAACTGCCTACTATCACACACCTGACACATCTTACTTTCCTCTTGTTTTTCTTGTGCCACTTGCAAAGTACTAACAGCACAGGGTGAAGGCACAAGAGGGACTCCCAAAGTGAGGTGTGCACTGTCAATGGTACACAGGCTACTTTGGAGCAGCATTCCCAGAAAAGCACGAGCTGCTGCCTCTCTGCTCAAGAGGTGAGGGTAGGGGCCCTCAAAGTGTGTCTTCATGGCAATGTAAGGAGCCAGCTCAGCTCTGGAACCTTTCCTTGGTGGAGAGGCATCTGAGGAGCAGCTGCAGCTGATCAGAGGACAACAGGAAAAGGCACATGGAAATCCACAGGGGGATGTGTGGACTGACATGGAAAACAGGAAGCATCCATAGAGGGGGAAGGAAGCAGGTTTCAGATAAGGGACCTTGACTACTAAAGGAAGCAATTTTTTACTGAACTATTTAAAAGTATACTAGTAACTTAAAATTTGTATACTAAAGCTTAAGCCATTTTGTTCTGCCCAATCTTCCAAATAATGCAAATATTTGTGGCAGTGGACTAGTGTCATATACACATACATACAGTCAGTCCTCAGTTTCAGGTCATTTAGGGCATAGGCACACATTCCATAGGAGCCTTGCATTCTGTTATCCTTTATCTTGGCAAAACTGAAGCTAATCCAAGAAGTGTTAACAAAATAAAGAATCCTGCAGGAGATGAGAATTCATAATGTTCACTTTAACTACTCAAAATTTTCCTTTTGGGGATATTTTGGTTAAATGGCTTTGGTCTGTGCCATTTTAATTACTATCTGAATTTCCTTCCAAAATCATTAGAAACAACAAACTTAAGGTTTGATAGGATTTTTTAAAAAGGAAAAACTAGGAATGAAGTGTTGAAAAAGAAGTGTTGCCATACCAAGAAGGGGGGGAAGTGGCATGCTGTGCTAAGATAAGCTCCAAGCTATCAAACTTTGACTTGCTACCATATAATTACACTGCCATTTCATCCAACTCACTCAACTGCTCTTTCACAAGCAATCACATTTATTTTGAAGCTTTGGCATTACTACTAGCTTTGTTGCCTAGTATTTATTTTTGTCATAGGTTCATGCTGGAAATAGAGGTGAATAGGAGATATAGATCCAAAATCATATCACCATAGAACATATTCAATATGTTTTTTTTTCAGATCTCCTTTTTCATATGCTTTGAAAAGCATCTGCTGTTCAGGGTTTTTAACCAAGCACTGTTGACTTTAGGATGCCTAGGAAAAAAATCAGGATGAAAGGCAAGCTGGCTTCATGGGCAAATCACCTTTTAATGGAAACTATTGGCAACATGACCGAAGATATAAAGAACAATATGGTAAATGAGCTGTCAACTTTCTGAAGAGAGAGGGGTCCACAAAGGTCTAAGCAGTGTAAAACCAGATCACTTCCAGCAGGACAGAGGACAACCTGGATACCTGTGTAGCCAACTGCTGCACAGTATAAAAAGAACTGCCCATGGCCTTTAATATAAACGGCATGTTTCTAACTGTGAGTATTTATTTTAGCTGGAATAAAGAAACTACAATATTGAGCTTTGTTTGCAACATATCCTTATTAGGGAAGAAAGGGAAAAACAGCGGTAAAGTTACGGAATCACATGGGGATGAACTCCTTAAAATGGAAAGTCACAGACTTCATCTTACCGGGCTATGTTCTGGCCTCTGTCACCTTTGTACAATGCCAAGGATCTATTGTGGTGCAAAATGCTGCTCAAAAAACTGCAAAGACCTTGCTATCATGACAAGACCCTGACAACTGTCCAGGTCACAGAGCCTTGTATTTCTGCAGGAAGTGTACAGGCAAAGCCATGCATGAGAGACCTCAGCTTGCCATCCTCCTCTGCTGAGGTTATACAAGGTCTTGTTCCCAGGAAAACTTTTTTTTTTGTTAAATCTGTCTTTGAGAGAGAGCATTAACACCAGAACATCTTTTGAGCTAAGAAAGCATCAATGCTATTTTCTGACTTTTTACTGGTGGAGCGTGGCCATCCAAACACTCCAAAGCTCAGAAGAGGAAGGCTCAGCATCAGCCTATCAGCCTGCACCTATAACATCCCTTGCTGCCTCAGTTCTGCCTGCCTGCCATGAAGCAAAAGGTAATGATATAAGCTTGTTTGCCACAAGAACCAAAGTTCCAATGTTCAAAAAGTCAGACCAAGTCCTAGTAACTACTGCTTCTTACAGAAAAAGCTGACTGCAGCTCTGAATTCTGAGTTTCTCAGCAAGATTAAGATTTTTCTTTGCTCTGGTACACGGAAATTTGCTGGAAAACACACCCAATAGAAGGAGTCAGAAGGTACAGAGGGCAGGTAGAATAAAGCTCAGGATCTAGCAAGTCAAAGAGTGAATTAAGGACTAAATATTAGTTAAAAACTCACAAATATAACATCACTATATAACAAGGGCTCAGAAAAGGAGGCAAGTTGTAAGGAATTCAAGCATATCCCTAATCACATTATCAAATGTAAAATGTGAAAAATACTGCCATTAGTTTTGCTCTTATTATTTTCCACAGGAAATTTTGATTTTCAGTAGAAATATGTCGGCCAAACTTAAAATACAGTGAGCTGAAAACACAACTCCTTGTCCTTATGAAAACTATGGCTTAAACACCTGATATCACACTCTCTTCTATAGGCACAGCTCTTCTGGATGGAAATATGTTTATTTAACCAGTCAGTTTGACACAGACTTTCTTGCTGACACTAAATTTTCACTTATCATTACTTCTGAGAACTGTTTTCTATCACCCCATTTGGCAAGAAGCTGTCAGCCTTGCCTCAGACATCCAGGTTTCATCACTTCTCACTGGACAGAAGCAAAGCAACACATTTGACACAAGGTACTAAAAAACCAGAGAATGTAAACCTACTCAGATTTAATAAAATCTCTCCCCAGCACCAGGGCTTATTGAAAACACAACAAACGTGCTTTGTAGAACAAGTTCCCATCGGCACTTGAATCCAGACCAAGATCATGATCTCTGAGCCGTGGGCGACCACCTGCTGGCCTAGCTGCAGGTTGTACCAGGGATCACACAGCACTGGAATTAAGGCTGTTTACCAGAGATAAAAATTATCTCCCACGGCAGATGATGGAAACAACTCCCCAAGAAGAAAGAACCACAGCAGCAGGCACGCCACTCACACCTTGCCCTCTCTCACAGGGTGCTCGCCAAGAGCAGGGCATGTCTGTAACCCCAAACCTGGGACCCCACCAGACGACACCAGCACATGTGGCTGTGGAGAGGGCAAGAGGAGACACCAAGGGGCTGGCAGGTATCCTCACACTCAGACACACATGTAATGGATGCATGTGGGACAAGGTGAAGATGCATCTGTGTCTGGGCTGGGTCTGACCATGGCTGCTGGCCCACAGGCAGGAGGGCCCCTGCAGCATCTAACCTGCCCAGGAGGGACAGAGGTGATGAAATCAATGCCCACAAACAAGATCTGGCCCCAGACTGTGAACTGCCTGGCACACAGCCCCTGACAGGTACTGGGTTCCTTCAGGTACCCTCCTGTCACCCAAAACCACCTGACTGGACTGACCCTCTCCTGCCATCCCTTCCTAGGCCCAGCACAAAATCTGAGCCATGGTGTCTCACTCCCCTGCTCCCTGGGCTTTTCCACCCCTTGGCTGCACACACATGTGGATGCACACAGTGCCTTCATGTGCACTCAGCACATTCCCTTCTGTGACAGGCAAAAGGCTGCAGTTTTTCAAATAAGTGCTCTACGAAGTTTCCATGTGCTGCACCTTTCAGAAACATGTTGATTCAGCCAACCACAAAACAGTTACAGTGTATGATATCAAGCATTTTCAAAAGCACTGCTACAATATCCTGGCAGCAAACAGCTGCCTTTTTCATCCTTCTGATTCACCCTCATGCAGCAACTCATAGCAGCCTTGGACTCGCTCCAGTGCTAAATACATGTTATACCTAGGCGTGATCACGCACCCAGCCCGCGGCTCCCAGCCCTCTTCCATTCCATCGCAGGAGTCCCGTGGGGCCCCAGCTTTTCCCACTTGCTCTGCCTGGTTACAGATTGCTGCTGCCTGGTGTCCCTTGGCTGCCCACTCTTTCCACTGGGATGAAGACCCCCAAAGTGACTTTATTTCCCTCCCGTCCTCCTCTCGCCCAGTTTGACATCCTTTTGAAGGTCACCTTCATGGTGGTGCTTGGGAGAAGGCAAGTTCCTCTACTCCACATGGAGGACAGGGAACAGAGCTATTGGGAGCTCATGGCCTGTCCTTCTCCCTTTTCCACACCTTCGTTTGAGAGGAGAGCAGAAAACTGCGTTTGAATACCTAAACTCTGAATCCAGCCCAAAAAATCAGCATTTTCTGAAGAGCCACTGCAGCAAATGGGCACAGTCAAAGGGAGCAGAATGCCATGGAGTCAAAACTATGGCTCTGAGAGCTCTGATGAGAAGCCCCACAAGGAGAAAAGAGATTTCTCCCATCTTCCACATTGCTTTTGCTTGAAGTAATAACTCCAGCTTATTAAAAGCTACAATAATA